GATCAAAAGGATCCAAGAAAGGACGTGTTTTGAGAGTTACGATAGTAACTGGTGTTGGTTGAGATTAAGGTCTCGGAAGCACCCACTGTGTTTTGTTGATCTGTATCAGAGTGGCGCAGCGGAAGCGTGGGAAAAATAGCATGTTAGACTGTTTTACCGTTGTCGCTTGTGGGAATTGCATGATGTGTTCATGTGTCTAAGCTGAGGAGGTACATTGATTCAGGTGGATAGTATACAAGTGAGAGATGATTTGACTGTTGAGGCATTGCTAGTTCAGGTTGATGAACGAGAAGTAACTTCGAGGTAAAGGGATTCCTTTGGTGGAGGTGATTTGGGAGATTAGGATACGAGAATCGTATCCAGAGTTATTTGGATCAGGTGACATTTTCGAGGACGAAAATTCCTAAAGTGGGGGAGGGTTGTGTCATACCCCAAATTTGTCTTACCTTTTTTCAAAATTCTCATTTGCCCGACTTTGTTTTAATTTACCTCGCTTATACAGCGTAGCGTATTTTTCAGCAAAAACAGACATTTTCGCCTTTTAGCCCAATAAGAGCATGCCACGTGGCATCTTTTTATTTGTTTTTTTTTATTTTATATATATATATATATATATATATATATATATATATATATATATATATATATATATATATATATATATATATATTATTTTAGGATAATGTAATTTTTTTTAATTAGGTTAGATTTTTATTTCAAAATTTAGAATTTAAATTATATTTAGATTAGTTTTATTTTATTTTATTTTAATTTTTTTAAATTAAAATAGATTATTAATTAATTAGATTAGAATTGTTTAAGATAAAATTAAAATAAGATTAGAATAAATTAGTTAGACTATTAGTTAATTAATTAGAAATTAAAAGGAAAATTAAAAAAAAGAAAAATTGAAATTTATTGGGAAACACAGTTAGATTGGGATTAGGGTTGGTCTTTTTTTTTGGGATAAATAGGGTACCCTACACTGTTCACAGCATCCCCAAGTGTGGAGGGTAACCCTAGCCGTCAGCCCCAATTACCAAACCCTACACTGTTCACGATCCCTAAAAAAAACCCTAAAACGGCGCCTCCAAAAACGAAGCCCTCTCATTTCTCCGGCGCCGTAACCTCTCCGCCTCCATCATCGCACCCTTTTCTTCCTCGCCGAAACTCCACCTTCTTCTTCCATGATCATTTCGCCGTCCCTAATCATTTTCCGGCCACCCTTACATGAACCCTCAACCATCTCCTTCCCAAATTCGTCACCGGTAATCACCTTGAAACAACTCCTTCGTCCACCCTCATATTAACCCGTATACCCTTTGTTTTACTCACACCATGAGCTCCTCGGATTACCACTTCAGCGGTCCACAAGAATTACCATGGTCAGACTAGAAATCACGATATCGTTGGACTTCAACAACCTACAACCACTTCACTTTCCTTCGAAACCCCCGCCTTGCTCGCCGTTTTCGCCACTACAACAAAGCCAATAAACACGGGATGCGCAGAAGCCATTTGAAGAAATGCCACGATGTTGTGATGAATGTGTTAAGAGAGCTATCGCAACTAGACGATGTCGTTAAAGCAACAACCTTCTTCCTCTCAATCACTGCTCCTCAAAGACACAAACCCACGGTTTTGCTCACATCTCTACCTACAACCATAACAACAAGCAGTGAAGTACTGTGATGTGACAACTTCTGGATCGATTCGACAACACCAATAATAACAACTTTGACTTCGCAGGGATACTAGTGCTCTGGATACTGTTATGACATTCAGGTCATCGTTTCTGTTATGGCTCAACACGAAAATAACACAACAACTCATTTTGGTTGTGAATCCAATAGGATCTGTTTAAGTTTGTAGCAACGTTGCGGGATTTCGTTTTGGTTATGCAACAATAACTCAGTTTGTTTTTTTCTCTTAGAAGTCTGTTGTTTTGTCGATGGAATTGTTGCTGCTGCTCGTTGTATTGATGTTGTGAAGCTTGTACTCCTGTATACGGAAGCTGGTGCGAACTCTGCGGGTGAACAAACATGTCAGAATCATTGCAACGTAGCATTCAACAACAAGCATCATCGCGACAACATAAGAGAATGGTGTGCCTTCCGGTTCTTCACTATTTCACAACAACAGCGATGTTAAGCTCCACTGTGAATAGAAAAAACAAGCTATCCTGCTCTCCTTCAAACAACATCTTTCCAAATCCTCTCCTTGCTATTGACTATTCTCTGACCCTCAAGGAAGGGGATTGAGATCTCTCACAAAATCCCAATTGGATGAGACTCTTTCACCAGCTGAGTGCACCATTGTGTCTTCTCTATCAAATGACAATGTTGATTCCTATGTTCTATCGGAGTACAGCCTTTTTGTATATGCCTACGAGATCATAATCAAAACTTGTGGCACTACCAAGTTACTGCTTGCAATCCCACCGATATTGAAATTGGCCGAGTCTATTTTTCTTAATGTTAGATCTGTGAGGTAGCATGGCTTATATTATGGGTGGATCCAATGAAGCCCGGAATTGGAATGTCTACTGTGCCTTCGCTGATTCCGCGAGCCTAGCAGATTCTGTCTACACACTCGAGATGTGTATGACCGGCTTAGACAGAGAGAAATCATCCGTTTTCTTCAAAGAACAAACAGGTTCAGCTTCCGAGATGACCATCAACTCTGGCATTAGGAAAGTTCTTCCAAATTCTCAAATTTGTGACTTTGATTTTGAACCTTGTGGTTATTCAATGAATTCTGTTGAGGGGCCTGCTGCATCTACAATTCATATTACCCCGAAAGATGGTTTCAGTTATGCAAACTTTGAGACTGCAGGATACAATTTGAAGGCAATAAATCTGAATGGAATGGTGATGAGGGTGCTAGCTTGTTTCAAACCAATTGAGTTTTCTGTAGCTGTTCATGTGGACAATGCAAGCAAGTCATTTGAGCAGGGGTGTTTGCTGGATGTTAAGGGATACTTTTATGGAGAGAAGAGCCACCAAGGGCTCGGAATGGATGGATCTGTTGTCTACCAAAAATTTTTTCTCAAGACTTCGGACTGTGGCTCGCCTAGATCAACGCTCAAACATACTGATAAGAAGATACTAGCGATGCACTAGTTGAAGAAGGCCTTGCTTAATGCTGTAAGGAAGGATATTGTTGGTGGCCTTGCTTGATGCTGTTGAGAGTTTATTAGCAATTTGGTATCGATTCAATTTTGACGCGACACCCGAATTCCATCTTTTTGGAGCATATTGTCATCAACAAACGACAACACCAATTTGTATTTGCAGCAACAATAAAGACTCTGTGGATCTTCAGTTCCGATTCAGGTTCAGCAGGCCGTTCCGGCACCTTCGAACAACGTCATTGCTACTCCGAACGCGAACCAGTTTGTTACGACTTCGTTGTACGTTGGTGACCTAGAACTGAATGTTAGCGATTCGCAACTCTACGATCTGTTTAATCAGGTTGGACAAGTTGTTTCTGTCAGGGTTTGTAGGGATTTGACGACTCGTCGTTCACTCGGTTATGGTTATGTTAATTTCAATAACCCTCAGGATGCGGCCAGGGCATTGGATGTGCTAAATTTTACTCCACTGAACAACAAATCTATTAGGGTTATGTATTCTCACCGTGATCCTAGTATTCAGAAGAGTGGCAGCAACAAGATGGTTTGAGGTTGAATCTGAGGTTCAGACTCAAGTTTGGTTATTGTCGCAGCTTTTTTGTATTGAAGAGACGGATGTTGGTCTCCTGCCTTCGAGAAGCCGACGTTACTAACACTGAACGAAAATACGCAGCCCTGGACGAACAATCTAAACTCCTTGAAGCAGCTACCGATTTTGCCCACTACCCTTGTTCTCATAGTGATGATTCCGCAACACAATTTGTCAATCGACTCCCTCTCCCACTCATTATCAATGCATTGCAGACTCAATCTGATGTGTCTGGCCTTGAAACTACTCTAGTTGTGTACACTGAAAGGTTATTCAAAACAAAGTTTGGCGCATCTTTGATTCCACAGTATATGGAGTTCATTCAAGTTGGTCTGCAGACAGATCCTCAAGCAGTCAGATCCTTATCTTGCAAAACAGTCACTTGCCTTCGGGAGAATCTTCACAATTCTTACACAGTTTCTGCTCATCTTATTAAAGAACTCAACATATATCCACCTTTGCTTGATTGCCTTATCAATGGAAATGAAGAGGTGGCAGCTGGGGCAATCAATACAATACAAGAGTTGGCTATTTTTCCTGAAGGACTGGGCATAATCTTTCCATTTACCAAGGAGGTTGGAGATGCTGTTGATAGGATATTGCTGCATTCATTGGCAACACAATGGAGCACACGGAGAGGTCAAAAAGTTACGGTAACGACAAAAAGTGATAATGCAATATTATTGTTATGTGCTTAATTACCGATGTCGTCTAAAAACTCAACAAGTTCCATAACAATTGTGACAAGAAATAAATGGAAGCAGTAAGAGTATTTCAGTCACAACGACAACAGGGGCGCACCTTCAGCTCAACTTTATTTTCGTGGATTTTATTTTCACCAAGTTATGTTTTCGATTTCTATTTTGGGCTACTGTTGATTTTATGCAGGTTGGACGTTGCCAGAATTTTGGTTATACAACAAGAGCCCGAAGCATCATAGGCTCTGCCATTTTCAGTTTTTGACATGAAGAATGATAACAACATTTGGAGTGATTTGAGTCCAGCATTTCATTCGCTAACATCTCAGCTCAATGCATAATGCATAAGTCGTTTTCAACCTGGAAAAAGCATGGTTGGAGTTCGAGGTGCAGTATCGAATCGATTCTGAATAGAGGCAGGCCTTATCTCGGTTGGTAAAAAGAAGGAACCACCATTGCGCGGCTGCATCAGTCAACTACGTGATCGACTTGGAATAATTGCTTTTGTATCATTCTAAATGTTTTCGCGTTTATTGGAAACCCTACATCATTCTAAAATTTTTGATCACCGGGAAGATCGATGGTGAAGGAGACCGAATGCTATGACGTGCTGGGTGTCACTCCAACTGCATCCGAATCTGAGATTAAGAAAGCTTATTATATGAAGGCACGCCATGTGCATCCGGATAAAAACCCAAACGACCCTCTTGCTGCACAAATTTTTCAGGTTTTAGGTGAGGCTTACCAAGTTCTGAGTGATCCAGCTCAAAGGCAAGCTTATGATGCATACAACAAATCAGGTCATCATCGTTTTTCACGCATGTTCATTCGGTTTGATCTCATTGCTGCGAGTTTCCTGTTACATTGAGGTTATTATCAGCATTATTGTTGTATACATGTATAATAATCTGATTTTGCAGCTTTAAGTGTTAAACTTTGTTGAATTGGTATCTATTTCGGTCTGAGCTGCCGATGTAGGAAGTGTGCATCAACTCTCTTGTTGTTTGTTTGCATTGGTCATGATTAAAATACATTATGTTTAGTTTAGGTGTAGTGGTCATAATAACATGAATGAATGCCATGTTATTGTTTGTGTTTTGGTGAGAACAAATATTTTGGCTGCATATATGCTGTTAGTTTGATTGATTCATGATAGATTGATATTGGTGTTGAGTGTATACTGTACTGCTACTTCTGTGAATGTTTGAATTAGGAGATTTCGGTTTCATTACGTGCCACTCTTGATGCACATCATGTTTATCAATTTAGTTTTACTCGCATTGTTGCTAATTTCTGCACTTGGTTGTTGCAAATTGTTCATATCATGTTTGGTTCTAAATGTCGTTTTAATATATTTTTAAGTTGTCGCTTTCACTTTCATCTGTATACAAAACCTTGCTTGGTTTCACTTGTTTGGATCTTTAAGGTTGCTGGAATCAATTTCTTTTCGAGTTTACATGAAATCAAAGTAATAAGCAAGTTTTGGCTTTTTGTTTTTATGATCTTGTAGTGGTTTAGAATTGGTAACTATTAAGGTTTTTATTCTTTAACTTCACACAGGACATTTCAGAAATGGAGTGGGCATTTTTTCTTGTACTGTTTGGTTGATTTGCAGGTTTTTGAGCATCATGACAAAAAAGGAAAATCGTGTTCTACCTTCAGCTTCTGAACGAAATTGCAACAGTGATATTGGAGGATTTCAACAAACTCGGACGTGGCGGTTCAACTCGAAGCCTATACCAAGTCGCGGGGCGCAATAAGCTACCATAGAACACCGCTTGCGTTTCATTCACAGAAACAACGACAACAATAACTCAGCGAGAACCGCGGCGCGCGAGTGACATCGGTAACGACAACAAAGCTCCGATCATTCATTGACGGTTGGTTTTCGTTTCTGACTTTGACATTAAATTCAATATTGCTTTTGTATTTGATTACTGTTGTATGTTAAATCGTAAATTTGATGGTGTTTTATGTTGGTCATTCTCTGTTGTTGTTTCTCTTCAAATCAATTTCTTCAGGTGTTATGTTTGAACAAAGGAAACTATGTACACCATCTGTTGAGTCACATTTTTATAGGATAAATTGATGCAATTTTCTTTGATAAGATACTGACTTGTGCTTAGTTTATGCTTAAAAGATGATGGTTAGTGCATTCAGAAGCGGTTGGCCGAAACTCTTACGGTTGAATTACAATTGATATGTTAGTTTGCTATAAATATTGGTTTATTATTTTTATAAAGTTTTAAAAAAGTCAAAAGCCGATTTTGTTCTAAATAATTATTGAATTTCCTCTTTAAATTATTTTCATTAGTTTAATTAGTTTAATTTCTAATAGTCTCTATGCCATTTGACTTACACATTTAATCTAACCATAATGTTTAATCTTCAAAATATTTTCCAAATTAAATTAAAGCCACAATTCATTTTTGATTAAAATCATTTAAAAAAACAAACTATTCTCTTAATTAATTACGAAAGTAGTGGGCTTTTGGGGTCTAGCATCCTTTGAGTCCTTGAACAACCGCTCTCGAGGCGCACGCCCTTGAGTTGTGGTTGTTCCGTCTTTTGGTTTTTAAATTGTTTTTTCACGTAGTTTAAATGAAATTTATAAAGGATATTTTTATTACTTTTAGATATCTTTATAAGAAAACTCAAATTATTCTTTTAAAAAATATATTTCAAAGTTATTACCAAGTAATATTTTAAATATTAAACTTAAAAAAAAACTACTTTATTAATTAAGTTAAAACTTTTTTTTTCTAAAATAATAAAATTTTCTCAAAACAATTAATTATGATTAGTTCTTCATACAACCTTTTCACAATTGATTAATTTATTCTTATGTATGAAAATTAAAATTAGTTTTCTTAATCAAATTATACAATCTTCTTAATCAAATTTCAAAACAATTAAATTCTTGGATCTCGCCTTCCTTGAATTTTTAAGCAACCACTCTCGAGGTGCACACCTTGAGTTGTGACCCTTCCGATCTTATTTTCAAGAATACCTAGTGCGCCTAGTCCGAGTATGCTAAACTATTCAAAATATTTTCTAAATCGAATCACGAAAGAATTGGGTTCTTGGAGTCACGCATTCCTCGAATTTGAGAGTGACTACTATTGAGGCGTACGCCTTGAATGGTGTATCGTTCGAACTCTCGTTTCTAAAATATTTCCATAATTATTTGGACAAGTATTCACCGTCCAACAAATACTATTTCATAATTAACGAAATGGAAAAGATGTCGTTGGGATCTAGCATTCCAACGATATCCCGACTAATTGATTACGAGGCCGACGTCTCGTTTATCGAGTAGTCGTCATTCCTCCCAAATTTTCAACTCGTCTAACCCCGTTCTTCGCCTTCGTGTGGTCGAGTCTAAACCCTAGTACGCTTCTAAACCATACATCAAATTCAAACTATTTTCTTAATTAAATTGCGAAAGAACTGAGTTCTTGGAGTCTCGCACTCCTTGAATTCTTGAGTAACCACTCTTGGGGCGTACGCTTTAGGTTGTGGTTCGCTCAACCTTTCGTTTATAAAACACGTGCCCTAACTATTTGGACAAATATCGCCATTGTCCATTCAAATACAATTTCATAATTAGTTGAATGAAAAGGTGTTGTTGGGATCTGGCATTCCAACGATATCCTGATTAATTGATTGTGAGGCCGACGTCTTGTTTATCGAGTAATCGTCATTCTCCCTTAAACTATTCAACCCAATTCTATTTTCTCGCCCCCCGTGCGATTGAAACTTTCTCAAACACTAATTTCGAAGTTAGTTGAATGAAAAAGGTGTTGTTGGAATCTAGCATTCCAATAATATCCCGATTAATTGATTGCGGGGCCGACGTCTCGTTTATCGAATAGTCGTCATTCTCCATCAAATTACCTAACCATTCCAACCTCTTTCTTGCCCCCGTGCAATTGAAACCTTAAACCTATTCAAAATATATCCTCAAACTAAAACATCCAATACGATAAACCTAATTCCTCGCCCTCGTGCGATTTCCAACCTAAATACTTTCCCAAAGAACATTGTTTAGTCCATTCTTCCGCGCATAACAAACTAAGTGCTTCAGCCTCCCATAGCGAGCAGACAAGCCAACGTTTAGCAGTTAGAATGCGACCTAAACACTCGTTCGTTTCCAAACCTTTTTACCGTAGTTAGCCGAACTACGGCTGCTCTGATTTCTCACATCTGTTGAGAATACGTAGGCATAGGATTGCGATGATCCTAGCGAGCACTTTTCTTTCTTTCCCACATTTAGGTTCCCATACCTTTTACCAAAGAACATTGTTTAGTCCCTTCTTCCGCGCATAACAAACTAGTGCTTCAGCCTCCCCTAGCGAGCAGACAAGCCAACGTTTAGCAGTTAGAATGCGACTTAAACACTCGTTCGTCAAACACAAACCTTTTACCGTAGTTAGCCGAACTACGGCTGCTCTGATTCTTCATTCCCTATTGAATGTAAGATACGTAGGCACAAGATTGCGATGATCTTGGCGAGCACAATCCCCTTTTTTTTCCCCGTAGTCCCACGAACTACGAATGCTCTGATTTTCCACTTCTTACAAGTGAAGATACGTAGGCACAAGGGCCCCAATCCTTGGCGAGCACCCTATCTTAAAACCACCCATTTCCCTAATAGGAGAAACCTTAGAAGAAAACAATAAGCATATCTAACTTTACTCTCGAATCGATCAAGAGGTTCCCGTTGAGTACAACGAACATGAGGGGTGCTAATACCTTCCCCTCATGTAATCGACTCCCGAACCTAGAATATTGGTTGCGATGACCATGTTCTTATCTCCTTAAAGGTTTTATCGATATTTTCCTATTCCGTCCTTGGAATGAATAAAGTTCGGTGGCGACTCTGTTTCGAACTGTATTTTCCGCGTCCATCGCGAGGATCGTATTTTTCGAGGTACGACTGGTTGTAACATCCCAATTTTCAAATAGAGGATTAATTGTACTAATTAATTGGATTTATTTTATCTATGTGAGTTATTGGATTTAACTGATTTATTCTATTTGGTAGAATAATGTGGGATTACTAGATACTATCCAATTAATGATAAGATGAGATATTTTGGTGAATAAAGGGTCAAGTGGATATTTTATGAGAAATTGATTAGTAGATATTTTGAGAGAAGGGAAATGTGATGGAAAGAAAATAATGGAAGGTATATAAGGATAAGTGGAAGGAAAATAGATGGATAGGAAAACATAAGAGAAAGAAAGTGGAAGAGAAGAGAAAGAGGAAGATAAGAGAAAGAGGAAGATAAGAGGAAAACTTGGAAAATCATCAAGATCCGATCCAAAGCTTCGATTTAATCAAGGTAAGGGTGAGAAACATTATTATCTTAGCAATGTGTATGATTATGTATGATTGGATTGGGTTGTTGTGAGTTTTCCATCATTTTTCATTTTAGGGCAAAATGGATTTAATCGGTGTAAATCGAAGTTTAACGGTTAAAATCGAGAATAAGTAGTATAGTTTAGTCATGTATGGTTATATTAAGGTTATGGGAACTGATTGGATGAGAATCGGTCGATTTTGGAGAGAGTTGGAATTTCTGAACAGTGGGAAAATTCTGGTTCGCAGACGTTCGCTAGTTGTTCGCTAGGCGAGCTGGTCGCGAACGCTCGCTGGGTCCTCGCCTAGCGAGCTAGTGGCGAGTGGAAACAGAATGTGAGAGGTTCCTTCGCTGGGCAGCGAACGAGATAGCGAATGGTTCGCTGTGGCAAACAAGGTAGCGAGTGAGGTCTGTAGCCTCTGTTTGGGTTCGCTAGCAGTTCGCTAGGCGAACATGTAGCGAAGGTTCGCTAGCAGTTCGCTAGGCGAACATGTAGCGAAGG